GAGCCCTGAATGCCGAGAAGGAACCAGTCTCAGGGAAGTGTGAGGACAGAAGTCGATGTGCTTGGCCCCTATGAGGCGCAGACAGAACGCTGATGCAGCTGAAATGCTGGACTGTATTATGCAGAGAGAGCGGAGAGGGGAGGAGGGGAGAGAGGTTCTGAGAGTGGAAAGAGGGCCAATGGGCCATGGAGAGGGGCTGGGGACAGGAGGTGCTGGGGATTTTAAGCACTGTCACTGGAGCTAAAAGGCTGGTGTGGCATGGCTCACGATAAACAAGGTCATGTCATTAAGTCCTTATCAGTGAGGACCCGTGGGTGTCAACCTGCCTAAATGTCCCTCTCAAATCCCACAATGCCCTCTGGGCTGCAGAGCCCTTCTATTTAGATAAGAATTAGAAAGGGTCCAGGAAGGACCCGAACGAGAGAGACTGTGATGTTCTGCTTGCCACTCTGCCACCAGGGAACACCTGGAAGAGCCTCTTGGCCAGAAGGAGCCCAGGAGTGGGAAGCCAGGGCCCTGGCCCTCTGACTGGGCTTCTGCTCTGGGTCTGCTGGTCCGCTCGGTGTTCATGGAGAGACTGCCCTGGGGGCTCATTTGGAAATTCACTCCTCTCCCTACCCCCAGTGACAGCTCCTGGCCATCAGCTGTCACGGTGGGTCAGTGGGATGGGTCCTTGAGGCACTAACCATGGAGCCCTGCACCTCAAAGCCAGACTCCAGAACCAGTCCTGCCTGCCACCCCAATACCTGGGTCACCACTATCCCCCCACCTCCCAGGCCAGGCACACACACAGGCCTCTGTACTTGTAAAGTCAACCATTCTGTGGGGCGAGAGCCATCAACATAAAACCAGCTAATAAACAGAAATTGTGATTTCTTTCAAAGCCAAATGGAAGAAGAAAAATATACCAAAGTGGCTAGTTGTCTATTAGACCTGATTTATATTCTACTCTAATATCTCTTCTAAGGAAATGAAAGGCATATTTTCATCAAATATCATCATTTATAGCTTCTGAAGGGGAGACAAACTGCTCTGTGACAATTACTTGGGCCTGCAGATAGAACTGGAAGATGCGTCATCACAGCAATGGCCTGTCTAGCAGTCACCTTGAGGCAGGTGGCCAGAGTGAGGACACCGCCCAGCCTGGGAGTCTGCAACAGCACAGCCTGTGGCAAGGGACCCAGCAAAGTGCTGGGCTCACGGGCCACAGCTTCGGAGGCTAATCTGGGCTGTGCTTCTGATGCCTCCCTCCAGCCCACTCTTTGGCTTCTGCAAACCTCTGACAAAGGTGAGGGCAGTGAAATTCAGTTGATGTGCAACTGACCCAAATCTACCCTTCAGTGTATCGGCCCTCTCGGGATGCACATCTCATTCACTTTGTTTGATCGAAATTAAGCAGAGGGATCCTCTTACAATCTTCTGAAATCTTGGTTTCCTCGTCAAAGTGCCACAGAGTAAACCACCCAATGTCTAGGGTCCCAGAACGAACTTCCTCATCTTCCGGGTGTTGACACAGGAAGAAGGCATTATGTGGGAACTGTGCCAAGATTGTGCTCATTCTTCATTCAACAACTAGTGAACGCAGGCTCAGTGCTAGGTGCTGAGATACAGTGGGGGGCAGGACAGATCCGGTCCCCTTGGCAGTGACATTTTCCATGGGGGAGAAAGACCATAGACAGTTACGCAGATACGTCAGCCAGATAAGGAACCCAGGGTCACAGAGAAAACAGGCCAGGCTAATGTGATGGAAAAACCTTTCTAGGGGAGGGTATGATCAGTAAGGCCTCTCTGAGGAGACTGAGGCCCGAGTAACTAGTTGGAGGCAGCCACACCGATCTGGAGAAGGCTATCCAATGCAAAGGCCCTGAGCAGGAGAGAGTTCAGTGACTTAATAGAGTAGTGGTTCTCAGAGTGTGGTCTGGGAAACATTGGAGGCGGGGGGTGCCTCCCAGGGTCAGAACTACTTTCATAAAAATAAAAGACAGCATTTTCCTTTTGTTTTCATATTCCTAGGAGTACACAGAGGAGTTTTCCAGAGGCCACATAATGCATGCACAGAAAGCAGGAGCAGACACGAGATTCCAACTGTCTTCTAGAAAGCCAGATAAATACTTAAAAAGAATTTCAGTTTTAATTTCTAATCTTAAAATACCAGTAGATATAATCCAAAGCTCTATGGATTCCTCAATATTTTTTAAGAGTATAAGGGGTCCTGTGGAGGCTGAAATTTTGGCAAGTGCTGATTTAGAGGAGCAGTGGGGATGGCATTTGACCACAGGGAGGAGGAGCTGCGTCTGTGAGGGGCCAGCTGGAGCCAACCGCTCAGTGATCATAGGATCAGAGTGAGAGAACTGGATTTTGTTCTAAGTGCAACTAACTGGAAGCCACTGGAGGGTTGCAGGCAGGGGCTTGGAATTGATTTCTGTTCTAGAAAAATCCCTCCAGCTGAATGGGAAGGGGATGAGATCGAAAGCCAGAGATACTGAGGATGCTGTTACCATGATCTAGGGAGAGATGCTGGTGGCTGGGAGGGGAGGAGAAAGTGTGGCATATTCTGTAAGCAGAGGAGGCCAGTGGGTGTGGGAGAGGGAAGAGAAGGATTCAGATGATTCTGCGATGCTGGGCTGACTACTGAGACAGCAGATGATGAGGAGGGTGGGAGCCAGGGAGAGCTCCACACCTTCTCTGAGTCTCAATGGTTTCGATTTGCTATTTAGGTCACAACTCTAGGCCAGGCCAAGGCAAGAGGGATGCGAGGCCTCTGTAACCAAAGGCCCAGAATAATCGACCTGGAAAGCACATGTCTGAGCATGTCCCTACCCCAGCCCATACCTGAGTGGCACTTCCAGGGGAGATTCACAGCCAAGGGATGGATGGCTGCTTTGAGCAACTACCTTTGATTTGCCAATTCCCCTGGCCCAACTTCACATACCCAAACCTGGGACACTGTGCCGACCCCACTGCCAGGCAGGCCATTATAGACCTGGCCACACCCCAGCACCGGATGACCCTACAGTAACCCTGGGCTCCGGCAGGGTGGGAGAAGCAAGCAATAAGTCATGTAAAGCCTGCTGCAAACAGAGAGATGATTATGCAGATGCTGAAGAATGTGACATTTGCCTCTATTTATTTACTTACACTCCCCTGTTTCAGAAAGGAAGGAGCAGAAATAAGCCCAGGGAATTTTCCTTAACCCATTAGAGCCTGAGCTGAAAGACACTTCAATGACCCTAAAAAAATGATTTTTTAACTAATAAAATGTTATATATCAACTATATCTCAATAAAAAGTTACAAAGTGCTGCATATAAATTTATAATAAAATGACAGTTGTGTGTAAAAAGGAGAGCGAGAGAGGAAGGAAGAAATAATTTTTTTTTTTAACCAGGCTAATCTATACTTAGTTATCATGGTCATCATTTATATTTGATTAGCGAATACCTCTAAGAAACATGAAGCAACCTGGAGAATGAGTAAAAAGAATCCTTCAGACCCCAGAGCAGCAAAATCATCTGCCGTTTCACAACTGAAAGCAGCCAGTGTTACCAACTGCCTCGTAGCCTAAGACCGGTTTTAAGAATGAAAACAGCCCTGGGTTGGGTGGAAGTGTAAATTGGTGTACTTTTCCCCCCCAGAATGCACACTGCAACTATATATATCAGGGTGAAAAGCCTCCCCATTGATGGCAGGTCCATTGCGGGAATGTATCCCACAGACACGTGACGTTTGCACAATTGCACAGATACCCCGAGCAGATCCAAGGTGACACTCATTGCAAGAGCTCAATACTGGAGATGACCCAAATGCCACCAATACCAAATGTTATAAAAGATGTTTTCGGTCCCTCTGCATAAAAAATACTAACAGTTAAGGATATGAAGTCGGTTTATATGTGCTAACATGTAACGCTGTCTTATTAAAAGTAAAACTGCCAGGCACAATCACATATACGATATAATCCCGGTGTGAAAACAGATACATATGACATATAAAGAAACATTTCTGAAAGGATATGTAAAGAAGTTGTTAAAAGTGTTAAAAGTTTCTAGGGCCAAGTAGGCTTATTTTTAATTTTATCATGTCCTGTTTGGATTTTCAAATATCATAAGCTTACAGTATATATATTTTCAAAATGAATCAAGCAAATAGCACACTATTAAAGAATGAAAGAATGAAAACAGAATGGGGTAGAAGGGAAACAAGGACCCTGACTTTGGACAGGTCCTAATGGTTGAGTTTTTTCTTAAATCAATAACTGCTTTTGAAAAAGTTTTTCAACGTTTGTGACTGAAGTTCAAAACCTAAATGTGGGGAGGTTAAGTTGCAGTAGCTACCTGGCCCATTTTCTGAGGTTTTACAATGAAGAGCAAAGCTCTCCTCTGAGGGATGGGGGTGCATAGGGAATTAGTTAAGTCAGAAGTGTCAGAACAGAAAAGGGAGGGCCTGCCCTTCTGGAGAAGCAGTTCTTCCTGCTCCACCAAGACGACCTTGAACTTTCTATTCATGCTTCCTTTTTGGGAGAGGGGATGAGCTTTGGTGAAAGTGGTTAGAGAGGCTCCGGATAGGAGACACTGGCGGGCGGGGTCCTCTTCTCAAGTCTCACTTCTTTAGGGGGTTTGTAGCAGGGATCCATACACTATCTCTTTCTAGTCACCCTACATGGAAGGAAATTACTCTGCCACAACCTCATTACTAATCATCTAAGTATTTCCAAGAATTTTCAAGAAACCTCTTTCTTAATTCTGAGAAGTCCTTCCACATCCCCAACAAAGCTCTGGAAAACCAAAGCCGGGCGGAACACCGAAGAGAGAGCCAAGATTTCTTTCTGTGGCTTGTGTTTAATATTGTGCTACACTCTGGTAAATTCTAAGAAATTTATCTGGTGCTTCCAACTAGCTGGGTTTCTAAGAAGGGAGAAGCAGCGTACAAAGGCTCAATAGAGGGAAAGCCCTGGACCCCCAGGAGGGGGACACGTGGTGGCACGGGGTGGGGCCGGCTCACCTGGTACCTTGTCCACGGACGCGAACACAGAGCGCTGCACTGTGGGGTCACTGCTGCCTCGGCGGCACTGGTCGTAGAATCGGAAAGGCAGGTGCTGGGAGGAAGAGGAGCCGAGTCCGAATCCCAGGACTTCAGTGGTTGGCTGGATCGGAAGGTCCAGGAGGGCTACGTTCAAACAAACCCATGGTCACGCTCAGTGCACGGGACGGAAGTCTAGGTGAGGAGGCTTTGGGTGGGGCGGTTGTAGCTGGAGTGGCCAGGCCCTGCCAGGCCCTTGGGCGATGCAAGCAGGCAACTGATAGCCTCAAGCTGGGGAATCCAGTGTGATAACCACAGGTCCAGCCTGAACCTCAAAACTCGGCTGGCGAGGGGTTCAAGAATGGACGCAGGGCCAGGTCCCACCTAGGTTTCCTGGTTTCCACCCACACAGGCCAAACCTTAGCCAGAGGTGGTTTCAGATCCTACAGCAAATGGGGCCAATTCTGCCCTAAAAGTTCACATATGAGTGCACACGGGGAAGAATGTGTGTGAGAGAAGATACACACATGTGTATGTGTGTATTTATGAGTGTGTGTTTATCTGCCACAGTTGCTTCCTCCCTTCCATAAACAAATCTCATGATATAGCAATTTGGAGGGGCTTTTAAAAATCAATTGAAGAAATACTCAAGGTGTTAGTTCTCACAGCCACTTTACGGGATAATTCTCAATTTTCAAATGAAATATTAAGCCTTCATGGCAGCTGTGAGAAACTGCTTTACATTTAAAAAAAAAAACAACTCTCTGGAAATAAATCTTAAAAGAAAGGACTGAGTGATTTAAGTCACTTTGCACATTACAAATGCTTCTGTAATGATTTTGCAGGCCAAGTTTCAGCTAAGTGAGAAATAAGATGGGGACTATATGGGATGCAGACTTGCACAAATCAACGAGGCATGTGCAGGAAATAACAATCCACAAGGGCCAGAAACCCCGCCCTCTGCGTCTTTATTTTTAGGTAAAGAAAGCTCTCTTCCTCCCCCCGTGGACTGGAAAGCCTCCCAGAGACCACAACAGAATGAACATCAGCACTTGAACAGAAAGGCGCTAGTGTCTTGAGAAAGACTTTATAATTTTAGTAACTGATAGCACTCCTCTTCCCCAAGGAAAACACATGCCTTCCACCCTGACAACTGGACCGCCCTCGTCTCAGTGCTTTTACATCTAAGCTGGGGCATTCCCAACACTGGGAATCTCACAGGGGGTCTCTTACAAATTCTCCATATCCCTGTGAAATGTAAAAGGACTTCTGATTTCAGAACTGGGTCCTGGCCCCTCACTAAGCAGGGAGAACTCTCATGAGAGCTGGGAAAGGATGGGCAATAGAGTAAGAAGTTCTGTGCTTGGGTTCTTCCAAATAGTTGCCTGTGTGATGTTGGGCAAGTCACCGAGCCTCAGTTTGCTCATCCATAAAATGGGCAGAACAGGCCCTACTAATCTCAAGGGCTGCTTTAAGAATAAAATGTGGTACAGGAACGCTGAAGCACTTTATTAATGCAAGCTAGAGAATATCCACATGCAGGAGTGAGAACAGTTGACCCACTGACACCCGCCTGTTCATGGCCTCTGCCCTGGTCGGAGAGCTCTCCTTCTCTTCCATAAAGCCCTAGAAATGCTCTAGAAATCAAGTCCGTAGGAAATGGGAAATTCTGAGCAGATTCTCCATGCTCTCACCAAAACACAATTAATTCCTGAACCCTGTGTCCTTTTCTGGAGGAGTTATGGGGGTTCTCAAGGTCAATGTGAGAACCACTCTGACAGCTCAGAGGACTTTGCCCCAGGACCAAGCACTCACCAGCTATCCTCTGCATCTTCATGCGCCTCGCCTGGATGCGGCCCTTGGCCAAGCGCTGCTTGGCGATGATGCAGCGGATGTGGTCCGAGAAGACAAAGGTGGCCTGGAGGATGGGGAAGGGCTTGGAGTGGGGGCTGGAGGCAGGTTTATGGATGGTGATATTTAGGGCACGGCTGTCATCTTCCACGCCAGTCACCTGCATGTCCTGCAGGAGGAGGAGGTGAAAGAAAACGGTTCTTTAGGTTCAGGAGGGTGACTGCTCAGAAGCTGGGGGATCCCTGACTCATCGGCAAGTGGCCCCCGCCCCCAATGTCAACTTTGCTTTTGCCCTGAAGGAGACCATCCCAAGTCTAAGACAAGTCAAGGAAGGACACAAACCAGATCAGCCTAGCAAGAGAAGACAGCGTGGGAAGCACAGAGCATTCACCGGGAGCGATGCTGCTTGTGGGGTGGTTCCATCCACAAGAAGACTTGAGTCAGACTCTAAAATTTTTACTTCTGAGAAGCCAGTGATAACAACCCAAATTTTCTATGCCGTCTGGCACGACATTAGATTTGTCGATTCATCTACACACCAATTTCTTCCTGGTTTCTCTTAAAACGGGGGCATCATTGGCACCCATTTGTATGTCTCTGGAGAATCTCTGGTTCCTAAAGGAAAAACTAACTCGGAGAAAGAAGGGAGGGTCACTTAGCAGGCATCTGAAGAATACTGTGTTTGAAAGCTGGAGGAGGAACTCACACATAGCACGTGTAATTAAGGATAAACCCAATCTAAAACCTCAGGATGGATTCTGTGTAAAGAATCTGCTTCCCACAAAGGTTTGAGGTGATTTAAGATAAAAGCCTGAGTTAAGAGCTAGACAGGAATGCCAGACATGCTACAGGAGGCGGGAAAGTGCTGGAAAAGGCTCATTAAGATGGTTGCTGTCCATAGCATTAAAGCTGGTGAGGGCTCTTTGGAAATAATACCTACATGGAAATGTTGCTGTGGGATTAGATGAGATATTACACATTTGAGACGGAGAGTTTGGCACGCAGTAACGGCCTGACAAATAGTGGCTGTTGGAAGATGACCAAAAGAAAAGGTTTATGTGGCTTTCATTGTCTGATGGAGGACACGTATTAATCCTTCGAGGGAGAAAAACACTTTCCTAACACTAAATTCTAGAGGAAATTGATCACAAGCCTGGATAAATAAGAAGCACTAAGTCACCTAATGGACAACCACTTACATGGAAGTCTTTTTATAAATAAAAGATTCTTCATATAGTTCTTTCTCACATCACCCTTGGCAACAGACATTTTTTTAAAATAGAAAGATCTTGAAAAAGGGGAGGTTGGGAAAAAGGTTGCAACAGCGTCTTAAGGCACGTGGGTGGTTCTCTTGGAGAGTGGCACGCTGCCAGCAGGTCACATTTGTGGAGAGGCGGATGTGGGTCAGCCCGAGCGAAGCCATGCCAGCAGCCAGGCTTGTCCAGCAAGAAAACGACCTGCCACAGAGCAGGGCAAGCCCCAGGCCTGTCAGAGGGCACTGGGCATTCAGGGATTGGGGTCTGAAGGGGATGTGAGCCAGGAGGCTGTTTTCGACTCTGCCAGCTCTACGTCTCACTCAGTGAACCAGCTGGCATTGGTAACCTATCATAGAGACAAACATGGAGGAAACCCAAGCCCCAACTTGGCTTTTGGCAATCTGGGCCTAGCTCTGCTGGACAGGGGTGGGGAGAAAGGAACCGTTACACACTGCCAGTGTAAACAATCATTTCAGACAAAAATGTGGCGGTGTCTATGAACTTCTTGGAGTCTGCCTAGGGAAACCCCTGCCCCAGTGCACAAGGAAGGAAGATCAATTCTGTTCATGGCAACCCTGTACAGGTAAAAGGCCAGGAACGGCCACCGGGCACTGGTAACCATGCCTTGGTATCGCCAGGTGGCAATGAAAAGAATTCCAGTAAGTCTGAATTTACTGTTAGATCTCCAAAATATATGTTAAGTGAAAAAAAAGCAAAGTCTAGACTCCATTCAATGTGACACTATAAAAAATACACACACATCCCCCCTCTCAAGTATATGTACACAATTTTTAAAAATACATGGAGTTATATTTATATATACATTTGGCAGAGACCAGATCTGGAAGGATTACTGGTAATGGGAGGAGGGAAGAGTAAGATTTGGGTTTGGGACTTGACCTGTATCTGTAAGATATTGTAATTTTTTTCAATGACAGCCTGTTCATGTGGTCCTTGTGCCATTAGAAATTAACTGTAAAGATGATACTCGTGTGTGTTTGTACAGTCAACGGAGAAGAGCTTCTGCAGTTCTCAGCATCCTACCTGCAGGAGGCCCGCGAACTTGACCACTCCCCAGCCAAGCCTGGACACGTCGGGCTCCACCAAACTCATCTGGTAAATATCAACAGCCAGGAACCGCTGGACCATGCCGCCATCCTTGGTGATCACCGTGCACGCAATCAGGTCACTGTTGTCTGGGAAAAGAGAGAGCAGAATGAGGCGCAGTCTGGCTTCCCAGTCTGATGGAGACTCAAGCTGACTCACGCTCTGCAGGACAGCAGGGTTCAGTGGTCAGAGTCCAGGCTTGAAATCACACTCCTGGGTCTGAGTCCTTCCTCTGAGTCATACTGGGCAACTTTCTTCACCTGTCTGAGCTTCAGATCCTTGTCTGGAAATGGGAATAATGTCCATCTCTCTCAGGGCACTATCTGTGAGGCCGGATATAAAATACACACAGCACTCCTGCAATGTTTACTACACTTTAGGTGTGCAGACTGCAGACTGCAGCTGAAGAAATAAACCGAAAATCTCGGGAACATTTCAGCGCTTCCTCGTGGACCACTGCGATGGTGTTTGCCTAAATTAAGTGAAGAAGCAAAGGAAGAGTCCCCTGCTCGGTTACAGGACCACCAAGCCCTCCGCACTAGATGGTGTGTGATCCTGAGCAAGGCACTTGGCCCCTCTGAACCAAAATATATGTTAAGTGAAAAAAAGCAAAGTCTAGACTCCATTCAATGTGACACTATAAAAAATACACACACATCCGGACGATGAAAACCATGTCCCCTCTTATGAGATGTTTGGTGCAAAAAGCAGGTAAAAAACTTAGAACGGGGTCCTCAGTGTATGTAGGGTCCCTTCTCTTACTTGAAAGTTATCTCCAAATTCGATGTCTAATTTAGTGCCTATTCTGATGACAATGAAATCACCAGGACCATTCAATCTCTGGCCTGCTCGAGTTCCCCCCATTGGAATCCTCTGCTACATGTCTAAAAAGAAACAGCCAAACAAGGAAACAACCTAAATGTCCCCAAATAGGGGAACATTTTGAGTATGACTTTTTCCCATCACATGGAAAATTATACACCCATTTAAAAAGTATGTTTAACCAAACTGTGAGCAGTGGTTACCTAAGGGGAGGGAAGTGAGAACTGGAGGTAGGAGTGTGTGTGTGTGATTGGTAGGGGAGGGGAAATATCAATGAAAGAACTTTAATTTTTGCTTCAGACATAACTGTTTTGCTTGAAATTATCTTAAAGTAAGAAAGTATTCAAGATACACATTTGTAATACATATTAAGAATCCAAGTAAAATACCCTCTTTACAAATACTTTCAGTGACACTGGAAAAGACATTAAAATTGTAAATGAAAAAGACGGTGAAAATATTCTTACTATGATTTTGATATATTAAAAAAAGATATCCCTACAAAAAAATACAAGTGCAGAGAAATATACTAAAATGTTAAAAGAACTCTCTGATTAGAAGACTGGTAGGTGGTGTTTTCACACACAGCTTTGAGGTAAAATTTTATATCATACAATTTACTCATTTTAAGCACTCAGTTTGCATTTTAGTAAATTTACAATTGTGTATAACGACATTCCAATTGTAGACCCCTACCTTGATAATTTCTATCAGGAGCACTGTAACCTAATATTCAGCTTAAATTTAGTGGTGGCAGAGGAGTGGGGTATAAATTCTGGCCCCAAACACATGTGATAACAAACTTGGGCTCAGGTATTCACCAAGGTTTACTTTCCATTTTGGTCTAAGGCAGTGGTCAACAGAGCCAAATATAAACAGTACAACGATTAAAATTTCTTTTGAGAGCCCAATTTTTTCAACTTAACCTTCTTCTAACACCACTTCTTCAAAATAGACTCACCCAGGCTGTGGTATTTTGTAAAAGAGCCACACTCAAGGGGTCAAAGAGCCGAATGTGGCTCAGGAGCCACAGTTTGCTGACCACTGGTCTAAGGGATGGCAGATAAATTTCTCCTCTCTCTCAGGCACCTCCCTCACCCCCATGCACACTTCAGTTTAATCCTCTGAGAGCATAATCTATCTGGGATTGTGAATTCATGGGGATGAATGTCTTCCAATCCACCTTCTCGGCTTTTCCAGGCCTTGAGTTTCTGTCTATTCTTCCCAGCATATGCCAGAGGCTCCCATGGCAAACACCAGCACCATACAGGCTTAGCTCTCTGGGCTGCACTTCCTTTCTATCTAGGGGAAGAATTTTCCTTCCTTTCCCACAGTCCAGCCAAGTATTTTAAAAGATTTCTAAAAATTTTTTTATCCAGGATTTCTGGTTCCACATTGGAAGACATCTATATTATCAGAAGTGTAAGCCATCATTTTCATTCTTATAAACATACTAGAGGCCCAGTGCACAAAATTCGTGCATTGGGGGGTTGGAGGAGGCACATCTCTTAGCCCAGCCTGTGCCCTCTCATAGTCAGGGACCCCTCGCTCCTTACCGCTTTCCTGCTCCCTGCTCCTTACTCCTGCCACCGCCATTGTGCTCACCAGCCATGAGCCCAGCTTCTGACAAATTGGTGCTCCCCTTGTGGGAGTGCACTGACCACCAGGGGGTAGCTCCTGCATTGACTGTCTACCCCCTGATGGTCAATGCGCATCATAGCAATCTGTTGTTCTTGTTCTGCTGTAAGAATCACTTAGGCTTTTATTATATAGATTCTTTGTGGTAAGTAGAGATTATTTTCTTTACTAAATACTTAAGTCATGTTCTTCAATGGGAATCTTTTACTTTTTAAAAATAGGAAACAAAACTAAATGAATAGAGCATGCTTTTCCTTTCCTTTTTCCCCTTTTTCTCTCCCTTCTCTCCCCTCTAAACAGGACAACTGCCCTCTTTTATCAGTGAGGCGCGATGACAGTGTGGGTTGTCAGCAGGCAACCCCCTCATAAAGCCCAGAAGCCTCAGGGGCTTCAGGGGAAAAAGACCTACCACCTCTGCCACAAAGAACAAAAAAAGGAAGAACTAAACCCCAAAGCGGAACAACTTTCAGCAATGCAATTGAGGCATCAAAGCCCTGTGAGAAATTTCATAAGAAAACTAAAAGCAATGTCACCATGAGACAGGACCGCTCGAAGTGGGAGGGAACTCTGGCTTTTCAGAACCTGTGGGGCAGTTAAAGAGAAATGCAGTGGCTTCCGAGGACTAAAGAGAAGGGGTCCGATCTTCAGAAGAAAGGGGATGCTGGTTGGGGATGGGCTTGTGGTCCTCTGCGGTGTCATTTTAGGGAACACCTTCACCACCCTGGCCCTCGCTGCTCTGACCTGGGGGTCTGGGGCTGTCTGGTCACCTTTGGGTGGCCATGATGTCTTGGGCAAAGGAGGACCCAGGAGAGAGGTGCTAAATAGAACCCAATTCTGCCCAGAATCTGCCCTTTGCCGGCAGCCTTCATGCAGGCACCTGTGAATGGTGCTCTGAGCCAGGGAGCCATGCCGTGGCTGAGGCACCAGGAGATAGGCAACTCTGTCAGGATGCACAGTGGCCTCACGGGCCTGCTTCTCAGGAGTGGCCGGTGGCCAGAGAGGCCAGTGCAAGTGGCAGGTCCTCCATACACCAGCACTGCATACTGAATCTCTGGGTCCTTCTCCCACCAACCCCACTTCAAAAGGGAACAGGTGCCCTGGCTGATGTGGCTCAGTGGATAGAGCATTGGCCTATGGACTGAAGGGTCTCAGGTTCAATTCCAGTCAAGGACATAGGCCTGGGTTGCGAGCTCAATCCCCAGTGGGGGGTGTGCAGGAGGCAGCTAATCAATGATTCTCTCCCATCATTGGTGCTTCTATCTCTCTCCGAAATCAATAAAAATAAAAAAATAAAAAATAAAAAAGGGCACAGCCCTAGGACTCTATTGGAAAGGAAATTACAGAGAACTGTCAGAAGACAATACAGGAGACTAGCCATATGACCTGAGGGGAAGGAAATAATTTCTTTATAAAGAAATAAGAATCAATACATACAAATAAATAAATGTAAGACTGGTAAACTAACTCCATCAAAATGAAAATTTAACTCATGTATAGCAAATGAATTTATGATTTTATGCATAACAGACCATGGGAAATATATGCAAATTACCTCTGAGAGGCAAAACATGAATAAAGCAGGTACTATGAGGGCTCCCATAGGCAATGCACAGATGAGAGAATAGGGACAGCCATCACTCACACAAAGGTGCTCACCCTCATGAGAAGTCAGGAAACATTCAAACAAGATACCATCTTCTACCCATAAGATTGGCAAAAACAAAAATGTCTGATGACATCAAGTACTGGTGAGGACAAAGAAAAACTGAGATTCTCAAACGCTGCTGGTATGAGAATCAATTAACATAATCGCTTTGAAGGGCAAATTAGCATTATTTATTAAAACTGAAAGTTTCACACAATATGACCCTCCAATTGGTAAGTTCCCAAGAGAAACACACTTGTGGGCCAAGAGACACGAACAAGAATGCTGATGGCAGGATTTGAGTGTGTAATATCCAGTAATAGAGGAAAGCTTTAAAAAAAAGTGTACATTCAGTCATTCAGTGCAAAACCAGATGGCAACAGCAAGGAACGAGTTAGATCTCTAGGTATTTCAAGAACATACTGTTGAGTGGAAAAAGCAATTTGCAGCCTGACACATGCAGTGTGACACAATTCGTGTAAAATTAAACCACACAAAAAGAAATTGAATATTTTCTGGGGGTTCAGGCATACAGATGTAAAAGGAAAATGTAAGAAAATGTCTGGCGGGTACACAGTGATACCTATTGGAGTGGGGGAGGTGGGATTCAGCGTGCAGGGTCAAGGTCATTTCGGTAAACACAATGTTCTGATGTCTTGAAGGGAAAAGAGGTATGTTATTTGTGTATTTAAGATTAAATAAAGAGAAAAGTTCATCTCTTTCCAGACTCAGACACAAAGGGCTCAGTTCCACGTGGGGCCCAGCCAAGTGGGGGCGGGGGCAGCAGGCCACGCTGTCGGCCAGCCGGCTCTGCCTGATCCCCACGGTGGTGACAATCATCCCGAAAGGGTGATGGCAAGCCGACAGCTTTCCCACAGCACCTCTTGGTACACAGGTGTGCATGTTTTCAATCTGGCCAGGCATGCAAGCTAAGAACTCTGGCACCCATTTCAACAAACACGTGGGTGTCAGGTGCTGCACTAG